AGTTCATTAACTCTATTTGGATGACTATTCCCATGACCTGTTAGTGAAAGGAGTGTTACGGGTAACCAAATGCTCTTACGTTGACTGTACCCTTTGCTGTTTGGGATTAAATCTTGCCTCCCACAGAAACCACTTTGTGATGGATAAGTGGGAGCAGAAGCCAGTGTGAGGGGGGAGGCCGGGACCTTGTCACTGTCCATACACGGCTGCTGACTGCTGTCACTGCTGTGGGGAGGGCGATATGTGCTTCACGTCTGTGCCTTACTGCAATTGGCGTTTTGGACAAATGTAATAAAGGATTTCTGTGTGCTCGGCTGTGTCACTTCACACCTCGGTGCCGGGGAGGCGCGGGACGGCTCCGTGGAGGCGCCTGGGCGCTGCGCTTCCCGTCGAGGACTGACCGAGGTGTTTTTCCAGGCGGGGGCTGCGCGGGGCCCGGCTTAGAGCCGCTCGGTGACCGAAAGTGCCGGGCGGAAGCTTTCTTCCCTCAGTTTTCCGTCGGCGACCTCTCGGCGGGGCGCGGCGCGTCCCCGTCAGCACGGCGCGGCTCGGCCGGCACGAGGGCGCGCACGGCGGGCGGGTCGTCCCCGCATCCCCGCCAATGGCGGTCGGCCCGGCCCCGCCCCCGGGAGCGGCAGATTGGCCGCGTCCCGCCCCTCGGCGGCGGGCAGACCCCGCCCCGGGGACGCGCCGCGCTTTAGCTGGGCGCGGACTGTTCAACCGCGGCAGTGGGAGCCGCGCCGGGCGCCGCGCCGCGCGGGGTTGGGGGCGGCGGCGCCGCTGCGGAGAAGCCGCCGGGCGGAGGCAAGCGCGGGGCGCGGCGGGGGACAGGGGACGGGACGGGGCGAGGGGGGGGCGGCCGGCGGCGGGGAACGCGGCGCCGAGGCGCGGGGGGGGGGGGGAAGCCGCGGCCGGGCGGCGGTTAGTTCCCGCGGCGGTGGCGCCGGCGGGCGCGGGCGCGCATGCGTGAGGAGGAGAGCGTGTGGGGGCGGGGCGGCGCGGGGGGGTAACGGTCCGTGGGCGCGGGGGGCGGGGCCGCGCGGGAGGGGCAGCGTCGCCGCCCTCAGCCCTCGGCCCGGCGCCTCGGGGGCGGTGCCCGCATCGCTCCGCCTCCCGCGCGGCCCGGAGCGGGAGTTTTCAGCCGCCTCGGGCGGTGGCCGAGACTCTGGCTCGTCGTCAGCGGCGAGGAGCGAAGGAGGCGATCCTCAGTGAAAAAGTGTAAATACCGTGACGGAAGCCCCGTCGCCTGTTGGGGGGCGAGCGCTTCCTCGCTGCTCTCCGCGCTCCCGGCCGGGTAGAACGCCGGGCCGCTCCGTGGAAGCCGGCTGCGTTCGGTAGCGCGCGGTTTCTTGAGCGGCGCTGAGCGAGCGGCGCTGCGCTGTGCTGTCACTGCCTGTCACTGCCTGTCACTGCGCGTCGTGGGACGCCGAGGTACGAAGGCGTGAGGTCAGGTAGCGAGCTTGGCAGTGACGTGTCCTTCTCTACCGGGGGAGAAAAAACGGCTCCATGTGGAGTTGTCATAAATGAATGCTAACGAGTGTGTCCCTTTTGATGTTGTTTTTTGGTTTTTAATGATCGGAGCTGTTTGGGTGGTCTTAAACTGAGGGATCCCCCGGGGCTGTGCGGTCCTGTGTGCTGCTGGAAGCTGAGACGTCCCACGTAATCCTGTTGTGCTTGGGTTTGGTGGTTTGTTTTTTTTTTTTCCAGTCTATTAATAGAACCAAATGCTGAAACGCTTAAATGCTCCTCGTGAGCAACTGGGCTGCGTTTGAACTGAAAACAAAGGCTGCCTGCTGAGATGATTTCTTCTCTGGAAGAGCAGTCCCAGGTGTGCTAAATATGGATTTCTTCCCTTTTTCTTTCATGCTTCTAACCAGGACGTGCCCGGTGGGACCCGTATCTCCTTTGTGGCCGTGGCTGCCAACTGCTCCATCAGCAAACGCAGGCTGTGCTATTGAGCTCTTATCTCTCTTCTCAGAAATCATTACAATCCCGTAACTTTGGGGAGAGCCGGGTAAAGTTATCCCCGTGTGGCTGCCTCCTGTGGGACGCAGCTCAAAGGAGCTGCCCAAACCCAGCTCCGTGGCCCCAGCCAGCTGAGGCAGTGCCAGTCTGCCAGAGCAGCGCTTTATTTTTGGCCGGTGATAATCAGGGGCTGGCTGAGAGGAGCTGGGGCTCACAGGACGAACGGCGCTGTGCTGGGGGAAACCAGGTCTGCTGCAGGTGCCCTGTAAGGGATTTTAAATCAGCCCTCATCGGCATGAAACGCAGTACTTTTGTACATTCCTGGAACTCAGTTTTGGGTATTTCAGCAGAAGCTATCTGCTCCCGGTTATTTTGCTTTTTGAAATGTTTACTAGAGAAGGTATAAACGTTGGAAGTTCATATATCTGAAATACAGCTTGGTTATGTTCATCTGAAATGCTGTTTGCAGGCAGAGTAGGCCCTTGGATTTGGATGCAAAAAGAAAAGAATCTCTCCTTGGTGTCCAGATGTCTCATTAAAAACATTTCAGGTATTTGGGATGACAAAAATCACCTTCATTTACAATGAAGAAGGCTGGTATTGAGCAGCCTTTGCAAACCCTCAAACAAATGGTTGTAGAAAAAGAAAGATCACAAAAAAAGCAGCCACAAGTCAAACGAACTCTCCTCCCAAGCAGAAATCCCCCCCCAAAATTGTCTGCAGCACTGCGTAGCCAAAGTGGTGGTGGTGTGAAGAGGGGAGAGAGTCAGAAAGCAAGAGGACTACGAACAAAATGATCAGTCTGCAGACTGGAGAAGGAATACCAGTCGTGTTTCTTGCTAGAGTGTTCCTGATCGCCTGCATGAAGGCACTAGTTTCAAGATTTAGACAGATCCTAGTAATGGGTAGAGAAGGTTAGAGCTGCAAAATGCTACGTGGAGATAGAAATAAGCACAGCAGCAGCAGAAAAGCAAGGGTAGCTGCAGGATTAGGGGCTGGAAGTTATGTTTAGTGGTGAGAGAAGGCAGCAGGGTGTGGGTTGGGGCAAACTGCAATCCCAGGCTATATCCTGCTGGGTAATTAAGGCATTAGGGAGGATAAGCATAAAGGCACTTTGAACATCAGTCGCTATCCTGTGCGTGTCTGGTGCTTGTTTCCTATTGCCTGGTTCCTATTTCACGTCAGCTTTTCTTTTTACAGTACTTTTTAGTCTTCCAAGTGAAATATGTATAACACAGATGAAAAGCAAAACATTTGCCAGTTTCAAAATCAGAACAGCAAGAAATCCTTGAAATAGTTCACCTGTGTCAGAAAAAAAGTCTACCAGAATGAAAACACAAGCTTTTCCTAAAGACCAAAGCTACTTGTCATCCATACCCTTGCTTTTTTTCTTTTTTTTTTTCCCCATAAGATAACAGGTCTGGCTTTGGAAACACACTTCCAATAAGGGTGGAGTGAATTTATTTTTGCTGCTTTCTGCCAAAATGAAATAAAGTGCGTCAGCATAAAAATTGTACCATTTCTGTGGAGCCAAGCACTGCACTCTACCATGGTTTTTTTGTTTGTTTGTTTGTTTTTTGTGGGTTTTTTTTGCAGTTCACACTTTGTGAAGTCTTTTTGATGTCACTGAGATGAGAGGGACACACCAGAAGCATCTCACATGGCTTCCTTGGGGCACAGCCACTGTGTGAAGTTAGCAAGTTACTGGATGAGGGGTTAGCTGCGAGATTTTTCTCTTTGGAAGCATTTTTCTTTACTTTTTAGCTGTACTGTAGCATAAAGCCTTTTGTCAGGTGGCTTGACTGGTGCTCTTTAGTTTAATGGTAGGGGTTTAATTTGAAGGTACTTTGATTTTTCCTTTTCTTTCCATCTTTCCCAGAAAAGAGGGGTGGAAAAAGGTCCTAGACAAACTTAGGATGATTTGCTAATGGCATTTGTTTTGTTTTAGGAAATTTCAGGCTGTTCCAAAAAGGGATGGAGTCCTCAAAGGGAATGTTATATTGTGCTGAATAGCCTCTACCTTTTATAGGTGTGAAATAAGTGTATCCAGTGTAACTCCTCGTTTGCTTGGGGAGCATTGGTCCCATGCATGGACATGTCCTGGTTTTCTGGAGCGACGGTCTGTCATTCTTAAAGCACTGGGTCTCTCTGCTAGGTAGGACGAGAGTGAAAATCCTCAGGCTTTTAGTACTGTTGTTCAGGATTACCATGAGGACTGCTGAGTTCCGACCCTGTGATGCTGGGTAGGCACTGTGCAGAGATGAGAACCTAACAGGTGATGTATACACAGAGCACAGAAAGCTGAGTACACTTCACAGAGAGTGCTAAAGCAGAAGCAGATTTGTGGTTCTTGATTTTTTGTAGTGGTCTGAGGGTTAAGGACAAAGTATTCAGACTGGTACTTCTCAGCTCGTTATGTCAGCCTATGATGTTTGCACCTTCAGTGTAAAGGCTGTAGTCACAAACTTTTGCACAGGGGTTGCTTCAGTTCCACACAGAGACGTCTTGGAAACACGGACCCTATATGGGGTCTGTGTTGGAAATTACCGAGATAGACAGTTGCTGTGTAGACTAAAGAAACTGAAGACTTGAGAAGAAGGACAGTGGAAAAACTCATAGTTTAGTTTTTAAAGCACTAGACTTGATGAGTAGTTTGTGTTTTTTGCGAGTCTACTACTATTAAGTGAAATGCACGTTATAACAAAATCTCTCCACCGTTCTGGATAGGAAAGTGTAGAAGTGTGTCATTATGTGTGTGTATCTGTGCACACATGCACCCATACTTGAAAATGTGTCCTTCTAGTCAGAGGGCTTCTGGTCTTGTTTTTAGTGAGGCAAGGTTAGATGACAGTTTTGAATGCTGTTTCTCAGAGTGATCATAGAATCATACAGTGGTCTGGGTTGAAAAGGACCACGATGCTCATCCAGTTCCAACCCCCTGCTGTGTGCAGGGCTGCCAACCAGCAGCCCAGGCTGCCCAGAGCCACATCCAGCCTGGCCTTGAGTGGCTCCAGGGATGGGGCATCCACAGCCTCCTTGGGCAACCTGTGCCAGTGCCTCACCACCCTGTGTGAAAAACTTCCTCCTCATATCCAACCGAAACCTCCCCAGTCTCAGTTGAAGACTATTCCCCCTTGTCCTATCACTATCCACTCTCATAAACAGCCATTCCCCCTCCTGTTTATATGTTCCCTTCAAGTATTGGAAGGCCACAATGAGGTCTCCCCGGAGCCTTCTCTTCTCCGAGCTAAAAAAGCCCTGTTCCCTCAACTTATCCTTTCTGATAGGATCAGAAATGCAAGGAGGTCTGAACACTTACTCCTCTGAGAGGTGAATGCTTTCATTGCACATGGAACAACTTCTGTATGTATTAAAGAAAGACTAGCATTCTTAGTTGCTTTGGAGTTGTGTAATCTGTCTGTAGTCTTTAGATCATGTCCTTTTATATGATGTCTTTGATTAATGTTTAAATGCTGAAAGAATGAAATACCTGACAGAGTTGTTGTATTTGTATCACGTCATGAAAATGAGAAAATTGACATGGCCCATGTTGTTTTCAGGTTTGCTGTAAACTGCCTACAGTAGCTATAATGACACCAGCCCTCAGAGAGGCAGCAACAAAAGGTCATGGTATCCACTTGTCACCTTCTTTGTCCTCTAGAGCTATGGAGTCTGATACAACTTTGTGCATGGAAAATTCCAGAGCGGTGGAAGAGAAGATAAAAGAGGACTCCATCGCACGGATTACTTGCTCAGTCCTGGGGTTCCCCACTGCTGAGCCCAGCCTCAGGAATAATATCTTCAGTGTGCAGCATTTTGCTTCCCCACCATCCTCCAAGCACTATCAGTCTGTCTTGTTAATGAGTACGAATTCTGCGTTTAGCAGCAAAACCGGTAAGCAAATGAAATCGGGAGAGCCTGACTGCTCCAGGATGAGAAATGCATTGCATAATGGCACCGATGCATCGTTTGGTCAGATCAGTCATTCAGGACCTGAGCAACAGGTCAAAGGGGAAGCTTTTTCTGAGACCACATCTCCAAATTTGGCAGAAACGCAAAGACTTTTGGATTCAAATGTAACTGAATCCGGCAACGCAGAAGAAATGCGGCTCTTAAATGATAAGTGGTACAAGAAGAATGGTTTTTTGGGTAGGGCTTTGGGAGTCTGCGCTGAAACAATAAAAGGGGATTTATTACACCAAATTCTTCACGGGCCTTCAGAAGGGATTTTGAGCTGCACCCGGGAGGAGATGTATGCTCGCTTACTCCAGTGTGTCACTAAGCAACAAATGGAGATCAGCCGCGCCAAAAGAACTCAGAAACGTTTACAAATGCTCCTGGCAAAGCATGTTATCAAACACTGTGATCAGCAGCTGAAGTGCTTCGTAAAACATCAGCTTCAAAGAATGAAGGTTTTACACAAGCCAGGCAGGTTTTCGAGCAGTAGCTCCCTCAGGTGTGCGGAAGGTTGGCCAGAAAACACTGCAGCTACTTTGGAAAGTAGTTCGAGTGCGGATGTACAGAATGGAGTTTGTGTTGCACCGGGGGAAATCCGGGGGTTTGCGCTTTCTGCTGGAGGGCTGCTGTCTCGTGTGGAAAAGGATCTGGACTCTGATGCAACGTGTAGCAGCTCAGATGAAGACTATGATGAACAGACTGTAAGAACAGCTGTGGAAGCGTAAGTGTTAAATTCCTGCTTAGACTCATGTGCTTCATGCTTATAAATCAAGCTGGAGGGGTGTAGACCTGCAAATTCCTTCTTGTCTAAGTAACCTCGCTCTGTAGGTAGTCCTCCTGAAATCAGCAGGACTGCCTATGTGAGCTAGGCTTGGCAGGATCCACGCAGAAAGTAAGAACTTTTAACTGTACGGGGCTTAAGCAGCAGTTATGTTACTGCAGAGAGTGGGATGTTGTACTGTGCTGAATCAAGCGTGCATCACGTTAACACTGATTATTCTATACTTGGATTATGCTGTAAATCACAATAGGTAGTGATAGCAGTGCAGTAAATGATACTTGTGGCTAGTATCAAACTAAATTATGGAGAGATAGTCAGTGTTACAGTCTTGAAATCCATTATTAGGTGATTAAGTATAAGCATCAGTGCAGATGCCAAGCTGTATTTGAGGGATGTATATTGAAAAAGTCTTCTACTTTGAACTATAATTTTTAAATGCTGATTTACTTGATGAGTTGTTCTTTGTTGTTTTGAAATGTGAGGGATCGTTTTTGTTGTTTCTGGTATCTTTTTCAAGAAGTACCAGAGCAAAGCTAATACAATTTGCTAATACTGCAGTTCTGTGTGTCTCTTACATTGTCAGAGAACCTGTCAATACACATTATCATAGCTTTGTGAATCGGCCATGGCTAAGACAAGTGGGCTGTAAAGTTGTCCCAGGAATGGTGATGGAAATACAGCCTCTTATTTTGTTATTTCTTATTTGGCTATGCTGTCAACACAGTATCTCCTGTTGAGAAATTGTAGAAAGCATTGAAAGCACAGCTTCTTTCCCTTTCGGGCAGGTGAAGAGGAGGAGGAGCACCTCCGAAGGTCTGTAAAGATGACTTTATAGCAGCAGCATCTCTAGTGCTTGATGTCAAGACTGTTTTTGTTTTCCTCATCTCCTAATACAGTCCCTGCTTTCGGGGACTTTCTGAAAAGCACCGAGTGACACTAGTATGGATGGAAAAATAAATATTAAGAAAAAAAACAAACACAAATTGTAGTCTCTTTCTTCAACAGCACAGTGTTCAGAACAAGTCAAGGAAGCCTCATCTTCCATTAAACAGCTGTGCCATGTTATGTGTTTACAGCTTCTGTTATAAAAGCTTGAGTGCAACGTGGTTCTGTCAAATCACTGCTGCAGTTGGTTGAACGCTGTAGAGCTGGAAAACAGGAGGAGAGTTTTTCATTTTCTTTTGCATATTGTCAGAATGGTAAACACCACATCAGAGACCAGCCCAGAGCATTATGTGTTGCCAGCTGTTACCATCAACTCAAATATTTTAGTCTGCAAAAATACTTTTCTCCTTTTGAAATATTCTAATGAAGAACCAGCATCTCTAGCTGTTAACAGTGTTGGAGATGGAACGTTCCTCTCCTGGCTGATACGTTTGAACTTCTGAGTAACACCTTTCCCTCCAGGATTCTTATCTTGTTATTACATGAACTGAGCAGGGAAAACTGATGTGAAATTCTGATTCTCTGAGGGTAGCTGATAATCTGAAACTTGGATTGAAGTTCAGTGTGAGGGTTGTCTCTTTTCCTCTTGCAAGGGACAGTCCAGTTTCTCATACTGCCAGTCCTTCAGCTTTATTTCTTCTTGTAGCCTTCAAATTAGTGAAGTTATCTTTCCACGTAGGGGTTATTCAGTTTGTTTTGTTGTGCTAACAGAAAAGTCCACAGAGCATTATTAAGGACACAGCACCACCTTTGGCTTGGGAAATCCCCAGGCTGCCTGGAAGGCGGGGGAATATTCTGGAGAAACTTAGCTCTGTGTTGCCCCGATGCAAGACTGTTACCTTGGCTGCTGCTAGGAGGCAGGAGACCTGCTAGGTGTCTCTTACTCAGTGCAAACTCCTTTCTTTTCCCCCCTCTCTTTTTTATGTTCTTGTGGTTAAAAGCAGTCAAGCAGCAGCGATGGCTTGTTGGTAGTGTGTGTTAGCAGAGGCTTTGCTGCCTTGCCAGCATGAAAGTCACTGCGTTTGAACTGTGCTGCTGGACCAGCAAGTGCAGAGTTAAAGCACCACCTAATTTAAGCTGGAGACTTTTGTCTGTGTGCATAGGTTGAGTCAGTGCCTGAATTAACACTGCACTGGGGATGGGCTGTCTCTCATCTGAATTTACCACTATCTTATGCTTGGGATGGCTTTCTTCGTTCTCCACCTTCCGAAAGATTTGTCTTAGTGGCTAGAGACTGCACTTCCTTTGGGTGGCAAAGGTCTGTCAGTTGTTCAGCTGGGCGGCTGCTGAGATTTGCTTTTATTTCTGCATTACCACTTTAAGATTCTCTCGATTGCCTTTCAGCTGGACAAGAAAACAAAACAAAGTTAGCTTCCATTTTTATTTTTGCTAAGTGGATTTATGTTGCTTTGAAATGCTTTTCTCTCCCAGGGAATTGGTTCTTAGTGCTTTCCAGAAATAATGTGATTATATGGTGAGAGAATGCTCATTTCCTCGCTTTGCACTGTTATTTCTCATAGTGAAGACTTTCACTGTTGTGGAAGCACTCCTCCTCCCGTAATATTCTAGATGTTAAAAGGCCCTACTAGTGCACTGTGAATGGGGAAAAACTTTGGGTTCTACCTGTATCACAAAATATGGATTGCACTTAACTCGAGGAAATGAACGTGCAAGTGGCTGGCCTTAGCTGCATCCTTCGTAGCTTGCTATATCAACCCAGTGTGCAAGGGGGGAGGAGCTTCCCATTCATAGGTTTATCTGAGCCCAGCCTGCTTCCATTACAGGAGGGGGAAGATCTGATTCCAGCCCCAGTTTTTCACAATAAGAAAAAAATCTGGAGCTACTTTTAGCTCTTTGAACACGTTCATTCCCATTATGCTGGAAAGAGTTTTGTCCAGTGAGTGTTGACATAAGCTCTTCTGAGCTGTATCTCAATGCTCTGTGACTCAAGTCAGATTCTCTTTATCCATCTATTTCAGTACCCATGTTGTTCAGTTGCAAATAGCTGTTACAGGATACTTACACCATTGTTCATCCCCTGTGCATTACACAGGTGCTGTCCTCAGACTAGGGATCTTCAGTGTGCTCATGGGCAGAGAGCTGTTTTAGTTGGCGAGTCACTGTGCTCTGATTTTTAGAGTAATCGGAAAGCCCTGTTCCATTTCTTCATCAAAACACATTTGTTCTTTGAGTATTTGTCAAGGAGAAGCGTGAAGGAATGGTTGGCTCATTGCAGGAGTTCTGACATCTTGCTTCTGGTGTGCAGCTCAGCAATGTCTTCAGCTCATCACAGCTTTTGTGAAAGGTTTCTTTGGCAGCGTAGCAAACTTTCATAAGCATTCTCTAGTATTTTCTTGTACCATTCCTTCCTCGGGGGTGAGAAGTCCCTCGAGATGCTATGTTGAAGATATGGTGGTACTTTTTCCTGCTTTAATTAAGACAGAACTCAGGTGCCAGTCACTGTCTCTGTGTTAGGTATGATAACCAAAGTGAATGCAGGACCCACTGAGATGTCACAGAGCTGGGTGTCAGCAGTTCCCTTGGGAATTCACAGCCCACATCCATCACCTGAAGTGCAGTGCAGACAACGCTGCGTTCCAGTTGGAACTGCTCGGTCTTCCTTTGAGGTTCATGAAGATGAAAGATTGCCTGTAGAAATAATGTCAAATGGGATGACTTTGGGGGGATGTCAACTTCAAGTATTTTCAACAGCACACCTCTGCTCAGGGAGCTAGGTAACATTTCTTTCTGGGGCAGCCTTGCATCCTTATTGTATTTCCTGCGCGTTCCTGATGTGCCTAGAGGTTCTGACTGTTCACAACATACCACAAAAAAGCCAGATGTGGTTATTTGGGAAACTTCTACACTTTCACAGTACTGACTGTTGTTTTTTTTTTTTTCCTTCCAAATGCACTGAGTGATCTTCCAAAATCAGAAGATCTATCACTGGCTTTCTTTAAAGACACAGCTGCTCACTTCATCAAATAGCAACGTCTGTACCTAATTGATTAGAGAGAAAGGCTTCTTAAAACAGAACTTGTGTGCAAAACAAGTTGCTATCTGCCTACTTGCGACAAGTCCTGGGCCCTGTTTCTCCAATCCTCCTTCCCCCATCTGAATGAAACCCTTTTGCATCACTTGGTGGGATTTTTTCCTTCAGAAATATTTTCATGCTTTTCCTCTGAATTTTGAAAGACACATTTTACTGATTATCTTCCAGCAACCTCATGCCTGACGAAGTAGTATTTGAAGCACTGCTGTATTTTTCCATGCCCGTGGGCTTTATTGTGCCTGGAATCTTTTATAATGAATGTGAAGAGATATGAAGGGAAAAAAAAAAAGAAGCAAAACGAAGACTTAGTCTTTTTTTTCTCCCTTAGATTTCTAGTTGGGAAGAGAAAGATTAGAAATCTGCTTTTAGTATAAATACTTGGCAGAGAGGGGAGCAATAAGGCGGAGAGAATAGAAGAAGGAAGAAAATATTATGACTAGTATCTGCAGTTCGGATCTGTTTGTTCTAGATTATTTTCCAGTTTTCCTAGCAGTTTTTCCCATGGCTAATTGAGCAATGTCAGTGCAGTTCTGCAGGCCTCACAACAGAAGGCACTGCTTGGGGGCTGGGGCTTTTTGCCCATCTTTCAGCCACATTATGAGGAGAAACTGTTCGTTTTTGCAAGAAGTCCTAATTTTCCACTCTGAGCTGTAATTTCATTTCAAAGCTGATAAGAGAACCGAATTCAGGTTTTGAGAAAGGGAGGAAGAGAGTCTGCCAGCAGTGCTGTTCTCCATTGCTCTTAGCCACAAAACCCTAACTGTTTCTAGTTTTTAAGACCTTTTTGTTATATGAGTAAGGGAAATGTCTTATTTGCATAAAAGATTAGTGTGACGACCTTTAAAGACGTGTGAATTCATAGGTGCTGATTTTAACAAGTTTTAGGCATTGCTTTTTCATGAATTCCATTCCCTGGATTCTTGGCTCCCCTCACTGTATGTGGGAGGAGAATTGTGTGCAGGGAATCATAGAAAAGCTTGCTCTACGTTACCTTCTGTTTTCATTCGAGGGATGCGGGTGTTATTTCAGAATATATTCGACCTCACTTGATGGGATTTCTGTAAGGGAGATCGACAGCTTCTTTAGGGTCACAGTGCATGTCCTGTTTTCTCTGTAGATATCTGATACACAGCAACAAGGACTTGGTTTTGAGCAAGACTTCCTTCTTGCAATACCAGAGCAACGCTGTTGTGAATGAGGATCCTGATTTCTAACCTGTAATTACATCAGTATTTCTGCAGCTGCTGAAAGCCAACTGGAAGGTTGTGAGGAAAGGCAGCAAGTTGGACAAGTCGTAACGTGCAAGAGAGCCTCAGAGCTGGGAATGGCAGAGCTTCTGAATTAAATAAGTGTTGAATGCATATGAAATAAAAACTTGACGGTATTCTTCCAAATGACAGTTTAATGCACTGTCAACACAGCATAGTAGAATAGAGACTCTAATAATTAGACACATGTATATACATGATAAGCTCACACACTTAATGACATGGTAGATGCCGAAGCACTTGGTGCCTGATGAGATCTGCTCTTTAAGCTGGGTTTTACAGCCAGCTTTTATCCTTCTGCTAATCTGTGAAATGTGTTTTCATGGAAAGATTTGTTTACAATCAACAAGAAAGCGTGTGTGTAACATCTTGAAAAGTGAGGGCGTTAGGATTGCGTTTTGCAGGTAACTGATTCCTTAAGAATCTACTTCAAAGGGACGCAGCCGGATCCCTTGAAAGTCTGCATACATGGGCCTTGAGACAGGAAATCATTTAAGTGCTTTCCTTTTCACATGAAATAAAAAGTGTGCTTAAGGGCTTCCCAAAATAGGAATGCTCTCCTGTAATGGGCTTTCATTCATACTGCTAAATATGGGTGAGGAATGTAACTTAAGATATCAGATTTAAACATACTGACCTGTCTTCCTTTTTTTTTTTTCTTTTTTAATTAGAACTGAAATAACTGTGAATTATTTTCAACCAAACAGTTTAGCTACCTGCTGTGGGCAAGAGAGTACTGTGCTACAAATTAAAATTAATATTGTTCCAATTAACAAACTTCTAATTATTGCATCTGCTGTTGAAAGAAGTATAAACGCAGGCATGTATGGAGATGGATGCTTTGTAACCTCCTCCTCCTCTCAGCCAGAGGGTGGGCAGGGTAACAATGGAATTCAGCAGAACTCCATGCCAGGCTTCTACCAAACACCCAAACCGGGAAGGCTGTCCTGTTCAACCACACATTTATGGCTGTTGGCCCCTTGTCCCTGCAGTCCCTGGTACTGCACGCACTTACAAACCAGAGTTGGTGCTATGGGCACGCAGCCCCTGCCTACTTCTTCCTGAGAGTGTAGGTGCAAGTCTGGGGCCCAGCTTCAGGGGTGGCAGGGCAGCACTGACAGCACTGCTTGTATGCTGTAACGTTCCACTGCACGTATCTTTAAAGGCTTATATTGTAAGCTCTGTCTTACTTTATGTTGGTCGTGGGATGCAAACATAGCGTTGCTTTCTTGAGCTCTCTTTTCAAGGGCAGTTGTGTAATGCTTACAGGGGATTTCTAGGCTCGTGTTCCCAGCGTTTTGTTGTTAGTCTATTGATGTGCCATTTCAAAAGCAAGAAAACCTGTTTCCAGGCAGCCCTGATATTCCTGAGCTGGTTTGTTTTTATTTTTTATTGCCTTTGCACGTTAGCACTGCCTGCTGCTCTGCTTCGTGCTGCTTTGAGTGAAATTATGTGAAGGAAGCTGAAGTGCCTGGGCAGCTGATGGAAACTGACAAACATTTTAAAATGTTTTGAGCAAGTAACATTTGCAGATTTGCATTCTGCAGGGGTTTTTATTACTGTTAAAAGGTGAAAGGGTGCTGATTGTTTTCTTTTTGCGGGTTTTTCTTTTTGAGCAGTTAATATTCTAACTGACTGCACCTCCACAAGCCAGGTTGGCCTTTTATCATTAACATCTGTTAAGAATGACATAAACAGAACTGAAGAGGAAAAACACCTACCAGAACTGCTTTGAACTGCTGGAGCTCAGACAGCAGTGCTTTACCACGCTGAATTTGTTGCCTTTGCTGAGCCCTGGACGAACAATTCAGTGCAAGTGTAACAACTGTATTGTCCCTATTGTAAAACCTACAGTAATGATTGGGTGCAGGAGCCCCGTAGCTGTCAAATAGTGGCCATGGCATCTCCTCAGATCAGAAGATATAATTTCTCAGATAGGGGAGCATACAGAGCTTCAGCATCAAACTCTTATTAAATGTCTTCTACTGTGTTCACGCAGAGAAATTTTCCGTTCTTTATATTTTCAGTTATCTTTTACAGCTGATTGTGACTGATAACTTTAGGAATTATTGCTTGAAATCCTGGGGCCTGATGACTCATTTGACTTCACCTGGATGAAGGTTTCCAGTTAGGGAAGGCAAGATACGTGTTATGAATTAGTATCAACACATGTCATTGGGTGCAGTTCTGAAAGTATCAAATGGCAACGGCATGTCAGGGATGGTGGGACCAGGTGTGGGTGCCAGGCGTTACGATAAGCAGTTGCTGATGTCCGTAGATGACAGGGAGGGCTGGCGCCCATCTGCTCTGAAGCCGTGTAGTGTTTCAGGGGAAAATCTCTGCCAGGTAAAACTCCCGATGAACACCGAAGAAGATAACAAGCCCGAATGAGCCGATAGCAGGCGTTGGCAGAGAGTTTGGTGTAACTCTTGAGTACCAGAGAGCCTCCTCAATGACTTTCTGGCCTGGTTTGGTGCCAGCTCTCACAAAACAGTTGGGTATTGCTCTCCACACTCAGTCTGCGGTGACTGCTCCCGTGCGATCTGAGCGGAGGCTTACTTTGAGCTGTCAGGGTGAGCGGTGTTCTGTTGTGTAGCACTGCTTGGCTGTGATACCAGAGGATTCTATTTGTTGCCATTTGTTTGAGTCTTGTTTACACTCTGGAATGCGTGGAAGAGATGTTGTTCATGAAGCAGCACTTGCTGCTTTTTCAGTTATGTGGTTATTATGGGTTTAGCAGTGAACTGGTCGAGGGGAGTTAATACTTCAACAGCAACTGAAGTTAGTTCTCTCTGAAAATAAACATGAAGTAGGCGTGCTGGAAGAATTAGACCTTGAGAAAGCTTGTGCAGGTCGTTTCATAGTTGGACACGCAGAGCGCCAGAGTGCTGCTGAGCTCTGGTCAGACTGTGCCATGGGGGAACGTGAAATGTTTGGGGGTTTTGTACAATTGAGTGAGCTGTCCCAGGAGAGTCAGGAGATGTATGATTATTTCCAGTGTGTGTTGTGTCTCATGTATTTCATCATGAGTCACACGATGTCTGGATAGGATTTAAGGATCAGGAGAATATTTTGATGGTTTGTTTTTCAATTTCCAGACTCGAGTCTTTCATCAAAGTGATGAACTTCTACTGTTGTTTTCATTGACTCCCTCCAAGGAAGGTGATGAGCTGTTTATCCTGAGGATAATTAATCTGCAGTTGATGAGCTGATCCTTTCTCCTATATACGTCAGTGTCACATGATTGGCATTGAGTGTCTGGTAGCACAGGAGTTGCCACTAGAGGAGAAGCAGCAGGCATGGCTGCAGTCATGATCACTGCATTGCTC